CAGCGCGGCTCGAGGGCCGAAGGCCCGAGAGAAAGGTCAAACTTCGCGTCAGCGAAGTTTGCCTACCTTTCTAGTTTTATTTAAAAATTCAATTTTCAGCTTTATAAAATGACACCTGTCAACATTTTGGCCCAACGAGTGTGATGGCAAGTCCGTTTTTGACTTCTCTGGCAGTATAAAACATCTACTATAGTATGGCTTTATGAGCCTTTATGGTCTACATAAAATATTAAAATTTCATTAAATTATACAAGTCGGTTCAAAAGTTAGAACCGGAAAGGTAAATCGCTGGGTCCTCTCATTCATTTTCGTGCCTTAATTTCCGACCTTTCTGGTCTTGATAAAAAAATAATACTCAAATGAAAAGATCATACGTAGAAAACTTGTTCGAAAATATTGTATCAAATTTTAGAAGCAGTCGGTCCAGCTGTCGGATCTAATATTTTGGGAACCATCTTTGAATAGATGTTTGGAGATAATCGCGTTTGAAGTTTGGCAAAGAACTGACGTGCTTGAGAACTTGGTCTGGTTGTTCGTTAGCTTCTCGGTAAATCGGCTATGACTTTTACAGTTTTTGGAATATCAAGATAACATTTACACACGATACTTTTCATATTCCAATTTTTTTTTGAAAAAATCGATTTTTGTAGAAAATTTATAATACATATTATACATACATCATATTGAGAAAACTTTTTTTTACTTTACCGTTAATCTGCAATTCCTGGACCATAGGGTCGGCCTTCCGTGGCACTGGGCATGTTCTACAGGGATCCATGATTACCTTCACTGAATCCTCTCTTCACGGATCGCATTGTGAGTTTTAACATCGGCGGTACACACGCGTTCGGCATCTTCGATCTCGCAATACTGATCAGCATTTCTTCCTACCGTTTCTGCTATCCATTTCACTATGCTTTTCATAAAACGATGCACAAAATACTAATGTTTCTCGCTTTGCAAACTGATAGAATGACGCTCTAGGGTCTCTAATAAACTCCTAACAGTGAATGGACTATGCCGCATCGATTGGAGGTATTTTCAACTTCCGATTCCCAGCGGAAGTGGTCTATTCAGGCCAGAAGTTAATTTTTTTTAATGGAATGGCATATTTTTTCTTATTGATATCAATTCTACGCCGAAAACTAAGAAACTTTTGTAGAAAAAATTGTTTTCTAAATCGTCGTTTTCCATCCCTAAATGCTTTCCAAAATGTAAGTGTTCCCCTGAAAAGTGACACAAAAAAATGAAGCGCAGTATTGTACCACCAGCTAACCTAAATATGTACAGGCTGGTCCATTTTCGATGGGAATTCAGGGTATTTCAGAAACTACTAAAGATATGATAAATCTGACACCACGTTCTCGAGTTCGATTTTCATGGCAAACTCGTCTGTCAGATGGGAAATTGCTATCTTCATTTGTTTCTAAGTTACAGGGCGTTTCTCGTTATTGTGACACTTTTTAACATGTATGTATCGAAGCTGTTAAATAAGTTACAGCTAAAGTGAAAACTGCTCAAGACTAATTCTTTGTCTTAGAATTGAATGCCGGTATTAGATTTTTAGTATATCTTAAGATTTCGGAGTTATGACCCAAAGTTATATTTTTTTAAATGGAAATCGTAGCTGACCATGGCCTAAAAAAATAGAGATTTTTTCCGCTTTTCAGCAATATATCACATGCTATAGTTATTTTTACAAATGGGTGTTTTATATATAGATTATATATTTTTTTCCTTTTTAATATGACCGGCTATGAAAATACTTAAAAAGTTATAAAATTCTAAACAAAATACGCTGGTTGTATTCTTTTTTCTTATTCATCCACTTGATTGCTAGGCAAATTAATCCAGAATAAATACAAAGCAACAAAATTAAACAGTGAAAACTCGACCAATAGTTGAACCAGTTTAAATTTAAGCAGAATCTGAGCCTGTTTGCATAGGAAGGGCAGCGGAGACTAGCCTCCGCTGTTCAGTTAAAAAGTCGTATTGCCTCTGAAAAGCCACTGCCAGTTGACTTCACACTTGGTATGATATGGAAGGATGGTAAATGGGTAACTGTATATTGTATATGCCATATTAATTAGTTTTTTAAAGTTAAATAAACAACATTTAATCACGGTGAATTATTAAAAAACATTTTTCAGGAATATTTTACAACTAGTGAAATATAAATATAACCATTAAAATAGTTGTTGTTTTAGGTGTACAAATTAAGAATTGAGAATAAAATAAGTGGTGATTTTTGGTATGTATTTCGAAGGTATACAGATTTTGTACGGATGTGTAATAGATTAAGAAATAGACATCCGCAAATAATGCAGCATTTGCCTAGAAAAAGATGGCTGAAAAATAATTTTGATCCCATATTTCTTGAAGAAAGAATTAATGGACTTCAAACGCTAATAAATGCAATAATAAATTTGCCAGATGTATTTGCTTTACAAGAAATTCAAGATTTTTTTTGTCTTAATGAGCCACCCATCTATTCTGAAACGAATGAAGAGTCACGGGTAAATAACTTCTTTATTTTAACGTGTAATAAAAAACAAACATTAAAACTTAACTGATAAAGTTACCTTAAAGTATTATAAAATATAAAAGTATTATTTAATGTTTTAATATTTTCTTACTATACGAGGTGTTTCAGAGTGGAAGTGACAAAAGCCTAAGGGAGATTCCACTCAGCAAAATATGTAAAAAAGTTCATATGAACATGGGTCCGCAAGTGTTTCGTTTTTGAGATACAGCGTGTTAAGTATTTTCTTTAAATTGAGTACAATAAACACACACTTTGTTAAAAAATTAATTTTTTGAATGAACAAGAACGTTAACTCCTGTAATTTAGAGAGTGTGTGTTTATTGTGAACGCTCTGTAACTGAATTTAAAAAAAAACCTATATCTCGAAAACGAACCACTTCCGGACCCATGTTCATATGAACTTTTTTACATATTGTACTGAGCGGAATCTCCTCTAGGCTTTTGTCACTTCAACTCTGTAGCACCCTGTAATATTAGAGACATCATTTTTAATGATATCCTTTACAGGCAATGTTTGAGGCAATGGAGGAAACCATAAATAATTTAAAACAACAGTTACATGAAAAGGAATCTTTAATAGACTCTTTACAAACAAATCTGAATTTACAAATCATAGAAAATGACAACTTAAGGAAACAAATTGGGTAATATAATTTTAGTACCATCCAGAATGCAAAATAAAATAATTTTGAATCACATTTATAATATAATAAAGTAGATAATACTTATTGTAAAAAGTTTAAATAGTTGTCCTCATTTATCCGATAAGGAAGCACAACAGGACCAATAATAAAATTGTCAATAATTCCTGCCCACACGTTTACTCTGAAATCATGCTGAAAATGCCATATTTCAGTAGAATGTGAATTTTCATCTGCATAAACGTGTTGGTTATGGATGTTGAGGGTTCCTGGCCCAGAGAAACAGACTTTGTCGGTAAATAAAATGTTTTTACTAAAGTTGAGGTTGGATTACGGCTCAGGGGTCTGGGCCATAACTTTTTTCAGAATTGACGAAAAAATCTGAAATTTGGTATGGGGGCATAGTGAACGATGATCTACCGATTGCCTATATCAGCTGTACCGTCGCCGCCCCCAGGGGCGGCAACCACGTCGGGGGCGGCGAAAACATGTAGATACGTCTGTTTCGTCGATCTCATCGTGTTCTACGTCTCCAGTTACCCCTGTAGCCCAAATTTCAGATCTTTATTCCAAAAAGGGTGGTATAAAATTTTTGGACTTCGTCGTTTTTTTTTATGATTAAGTACGGCTCCGGGGTCTGGTCCGTAACTTTGTTCAGAATTAACGAAAAAATCTGAAATTTGGTATGGGGGCATAGTGAACGATGATCTACCGATTGCCTATATCAGCTGTACCGTCGCCGCCCCCGGGGGCGGCAACCACGTCGGGGGCAGATTTCAGAGGTCACTTTAACAAAAAGTGACTTCTACAAAAGCTGTAGATTTTTCCATGGTCTACAACTTTTGTATTGGATACTTTTTTGTCTGACGTCAACTTTCGCCAGAAATCCTAATGATACAATTTTTCATAACTTTTCAACCCCCCAAATCAACCCTCCGCCGCCCCTGCTCACGCATTTATTTTTTTTAGGTTTATTATAAGCCCTTTTACCATTTCCACTTATAAAAGTCCAGGTAACAATTTTTTTTTCTCCCAAGTGTAATTTGGTTGGACTATACAGGGTGATTCAGTCATAATGTCATTATTTTAAGAGCAGATAGAGAAAAATGAGTATAATACGATGGCGTGATTAAAAAAAAAATAAATGCATATTTAATCTGAAAAAAAATATTTTCAAATCATTATTTAACCCCCCTTTTCAGACTGTTACTGACCGGCTGACGTTCACAATATTGTGCACGGCTACGATGTGAACAAGGTGCCCTAGATGCAACGTTGCCATATTTATATTATTTTCCCTCATATAAAGACAATAAATAAACGGTTTGCTCACGTCAGCCAATAATAATTTAAAATGCTATAAATTATTTTTTATTTATGCAATCAACATATTATATTGTTATTGTTGCCCAGCTAGAACCTCGAGGAGGTCTGAGCATGCCTTGCCAAAAATCAGTTTTTATTAGCATCATAATTTTAATATTTTAACAACATTTGCTGTAAGCCCGAAGGGGAAGGTTTTCAAACAATTCTACTAAAAATTAGTAACGCGGCCCATTCAGATGTTCAGGTAGAAAATGCGGCCCAATTAAACGATCGCCATTGACATTGACACCGAATCTCCTCTGAAAGCTATACCACCGACGAGTAGTGTGCGGGTAGTAGTGTGTTTCATCTGACCAAATGTGACTATTATGGCTGCAAAGAAATTAGCTGTTTCACTTTAAATAAGATTTAATATTGAAGTTACAAAACCCCAAAAGTTCAAATAATTTAAATTTCATTTCATAACCATTTCAATTTCGTTACAGAAATAATGTCATAAAAAACCAACACTCACTAGATAAATTATAAAGAGAGGATAAATTGTATGCAGTATTTAAATATTGACTGCAATTAGAAGAGAGACTTGTATATTCCATAAAAAAACAATGGGACGGAGACAAATAAACAACTCGGTAC